ATAAATGCTCAATAAGTACCTGAAAATAAAACACCTAGTATCTTTGACCATTAGATAAATGCACATCAAAACAACACAGAGAATCCACTTTACTCCAAGAAAAACAACTATCATCAAGAACTCAAAAAAGAACAAATGGTGGTGAGGTTGTAGGGGAAAAAAGGAACCCTTCTACATTGTTGGTATGGATGTAAACTAATATAACCACTATGGAAATCAGTATGGAGATTCCTCAAAAAAATTAAAACTAAAAATTCCACTTGACCCAGCTGTACCTTTTCGAGTATCTTCCTAAAAGATTTTAAAACATTATATTACATTGATGCAGACACTCATGCTCATAACAGTACAATTCACAGTAGCTAAATTTTGGAAGTGGCACATATGCCCTTCAAGAGCTGAAGAGATAAAGAAAATTGTATATATATACACTATATATAAATACGATATCTATAAATACTATATACAAACACAATATATAAGTATTATATATGAAATTATATATCTATCTATACATAGTGGAGTACTACTCAGAAATAAAGGAGGATAAAATGGAGTCAATTGTAGGAAAATAAATGGATTGTGAGAGTATAATGCTAAGTGAAATAAATCAATCACAGAAGGTTAAATATCATGTGGTTTCTCTTATATGAGAAACCTAAAATATAAATAATTTGAAGAGTTAAAATATAAATAATGTATGAAATAAAATTAAAATTTAAATAATATATAGCAAATAAATTATTTGTAGAGTAAAATTAAAGAGAGATTATGAGAAGCAGTAAGGTAAACTTTGTGGAGGTGGATGGGGGATCTGGTGAAGGGCACAGAAGAGACGGGAAGGACAGGGAGGGCGAGTAGAATGATTAAGATGTGGCACGTACATGTACCAATTCCCCAAAATGAATGTAGTTGTTATGTATTGTTCCAATATACCAACAAAAACCAAATAGTACATTTCAATTGGTACATACAAAAAAAATGAATGCAAGTGGCAGGTGGAGAAATGAAAAGTTGCTTATTGTCCTTCAGCATTTAAAGTCAACTATTTCAAATGTGACCCCAGTTATACAGTATACAAAGTAGAACTGTGTATTCTCTTAAGTAGTTTCAAATGAGGGTTATGTTAAGTCTTTTCTGAAATCTGTTTTTATAGCATTAATAAAGTTTTATTGGTACGCAAGCACACCTATTCATTTGTGTATCAGCTATGTCAGCTTTTGCACCACAGTGGCAAAACTGAGTGGTTGTGATGGCTATCACATGACTTGCAAAACCTAAAATATTTACTCGCTTTCTGGTCCTTGTCCAAGAGTGTTGACCTGTCCTTGTCCTATGTCAGTGACAATTTCATGGTACTAGGCACAGATAAATTCATTTCTATATTCAGCCTCAATTATAAAGGAATATCTGGGGTCACTTATCTCCTCTTGGCCTTATGATCCGGTGAGATATTTTTGACTGTGAGAAACCAACTCATGCTAAATGAACCCAAGATTGAACTTGGCAGTGTTGGATATAATTTTAATAAACAAGTAATTTTTAATTTTTCAGTTTCTGGTTTGTTTGCTTGTCTGTTGTTTACTTAATTAAGCCATATTCATAATTTAATTTGGTCAAGTATCTTGGTAAGTGTAGACAAAGTAAAACCTTGTTGCACAGCAAGAACTTTGTCCCCTGAAAGATCTCTTTAGCACAGACTGGTACAAAGAAAAGGTGGCATTCCCTCCACAGGGGATGATTGAAAACCAAAAGATGTGTCTTTCTTTGGTCAGACCATAAGGAATCATAAAATCAATATTTCTACCATTTATGGATTTACTCTCATTAGTTTTTGGCAGTACATGACTTCTTAATTTTTGAAAGAGGTTTGCAAAATGGTGCCGAAAGCTTCTGGGACATGAATAAAATATATATATTTTATAATTTTAGTGTAAACAAATTCCAAACATATGGATTACATTTCCTTTTAAAAATAAAGGGTTTTAGCATTTAATGGGAAAGGCGATTTGCAAAATATGCTTTGGATTTTGCCAAAACTGAATCACTCAAAATGTGCAATTAACTCTAAATGAAACCAAATTCAACTGTCCCTGCTTTGAATGACTAAAAAAGACATCTTCCATTGCTGCTCATGCCTTTCCGTTCTCAAGTCATGAAAGGGAAGTCAAAATGTGCTGTGTAATGTATGGCTGTCCGTGAAGTCATGCAGCAAAATGTAGCTGAGCAGGAGAGGGCTTCCCAGGGGAACACATGTGACCTTCTCAAGTGTAAATCTGCTTTGACTAGTTATGATGTTTGAGACGAATTATAGAGAGGAACTGATGTGTTTCCTGGTGTGGAATCAAGTTGCTAATTTCCACCAGCTATGAGGTGCTTACTTTTTTCCCTGAGAACTAAATAATCTGACAAAAGTCTTCTATGTTTTAATGACCTTTTGTATTTGTAATGAGAGCAGTACAATGGTAATAAATGTACCATTAGAAGGGTTTTTCTTTTAGATCACATTCACTTGGAGAAACAAGCATTGCTATTTTAAAATCAAATGGGATTGACTAATTGTTAGGGTGATAGGCCCAGGAGTACTTTTCTACTTGCAATTTCCAGTTATTCTCAGTCATAACTGGAAATGAAGCAGATTAGGGAATAGGAACAAACTCAGATGGAGCCCAAGACTCCTGAGGATATTTGCCTCTATGAGTCTCTACTCTGCTCTTAAAATACTGCACAAGTCTCCTTTGAGGAAAAGTAAAATTATGAATTCAAAGTGTTTTGGAATATGCACATAATTGTCATGAGAATTTAAATTTTAAATGGAAGTTACGGTAGGAGAAGATCTACAAGCCATTAGTAAAGAATTGAAGATGGTAATAAAATCGAGGAGTACATTACAATGATGCAAATAAATTCTTAGTTTTGCAAAGTACAGGGGGAAAACAAAGGAACATTATTTAAATATTGAAAAGTAGGAGCATCGTTAGAGCAGATGCAAATTCACAATATACATGGAACTGTGCACACAAAAAAATAAACAGTATAAATTAGTGCTCCTGTAAGAAGAAGGAAGAAAATGGTAGGAAAACAAGGGAAATAAATGGACACTGCTTGCTTCCATTTCAACCTTGCATGCTATATTACAGCATTTCTCTTACTGTCTCATAATGTCTTTCATTTTTCATAGAACTACCCAAGCAAGAGGAGAACTGTATATTTTCATATGCCTTTCTCTAAATCTTTGAAGTCATTAAAAGGGCACAATAGTAAAAGAAAACATGCAAATCTGGCATCTCAAAGGTCAACTTTTTTCTTGTTTCCAAAACATACTCTTATCATATTGGGACTTTTAGAATTCAGTGTTGTTAACAATTCCTTACATTATATGTTGATTTTTAAATCACACGTTTCTTACAAACATTGCTCAGCCCATCAATATTTAAGTCTTAGGTCTTCAGTTTCCACCAAAGCTGATCTAAATGTGAAACCTACACCTTTGATAGAGCAGCTAGGCTTCAAGGGGCAATAATCACCACCACTGTTTCTTGCGAATCAAAAGCTTTTACAGTTCAAGGGATTGGGCCTAGCAGTCACACCATTATTTCTTGAGTTGCCCATTATGTGGTTAAAATTTACATAAATGTTAGGCACATTCAGCCCTTTCCCTGTGGCTTTTCCAAAAGGACCACATTCCTGTATATTTATAAACCACTTTCAAAGCTTCTTGTTGTTATAACTTGCAGAAAGGAGAAAGTCAGAAATAAAAAGTCTCAGATTTATCCAAATCAGTGCTGAGCTCATAGAATCTTAAGAAGACTTCATAAGGTCCTGCATAACTGAGTTCTAAAAGGTAGTTGGGGTGAGAGTAGCCTTCTCCATTTCTCTTTCTGAAAAATAGCACAGGTTGGTCCTCTCTCAAGTCATGACATACTTGACCCCCCTCATCTTTATTTTTAGAAGTTATTTCGCCTCTGAGGTTATAGGAAACTTGACGTCTCACCATTTTCCATCAGCACCCTCCATCTCTATATTATCTTTTATTTTTAACTTCCCTTTCCATTTCCTTTCATTTTCACTTTATCAGGCCTTGCTGCTTACTTCCTGTCTGGTTTACTCCCCAGACAGGTTTAGGGGGGCATCAGTACAAGGTTCACTAAACTGTTTCCATCACTTCCTGACACACAGGGAGAACTTTGCAAGGAGTGGGCCATGGGGTGATATCTGCATGATGGATCTGGGGCTGTGGGGCAGTTCACCCCTGTCTTCATAGGCCAAACCTCTTGAAAACCTTGAAGAATATTTTGTCTATACATTTCCTTTACGTATGAGCCCAGGCACACAGTTTAATCTTGAGGATTCTCAGTCTGTGGATGTTCCTGGATTCAAAAAGTGCAAATAAACTGGCTGAAAAAGATCTGGCAAAGATATCTGTGTTATGGAGATATCTACCCTTGACTATGGTTAAGTACAGATACTGCTACTTTGCTAAATCACTAAGATTTAGGGCTGTTATAGCAGCTTGCTTGCACCAAGTATCGTAGTCATCTCTTCCAAGACTGCAATATTCACCTGAATTGTCATCTCCTTTACGGAGCCTGCTTTCCTATGAGTTTGTAAAGCGCCTTGGTGTATTGTAAGGGAATCCAATTTATTCAGTCCTAAGAGTTCTTCTTTCTCACACACAGTGACTTTGGATTCTACTGCCTCCTGCAGTGCCTGGCACAGAGCAAAAAGACACTCCCTCCTTGAAAAGAATGTATCATACATACCTTGGGGATGGAGTGGGGTTGGGTGATAATTGAAAGTTTGTGTTCAGAGTCAGCCACGTGTCCTTCAACACTACCACATGGAATGCTTTGCCGTTATTCACTTTGTAGGGAGTGTAAATAAAGGCAAGTTCACACAATGCGATGACTGTGCTTAGGTAATCCTTCATTCAACAGGTATAACAGTTATCTTTGTCCAGCCAGTGTACTAGGTACTAGGGGAAAATGAATGAAGACGACAGAGCAGGTACCTGCCTTTCAGGCCAGACTTCTTGAACATACAGCCAAATATGGGGCTTTTGCTGAGATTATGAGGCTTTACTCCCCTTGGTGCAGACCCCTGCCTGCCCCCTTGGTTTCTCAGGTATGGTTTTCCACTCTACTCTTGCCCTCAGTTCCTTGACTTTTCTCTCTTTAGGGTGGGGCTTCTTAACAGGAGGCAAGGTTGCTTACCAGGGACAGTAGGCAAGGTCTGGAGATATTTTTGGTTGTCATAGCTGGGGGAAGGGGTGCTACTGGCATCTAGTGGGTAGAGGCCAGAAATGCTGCTATAATGCAGTGGCAGCCCTACCATAAAAATTTTTCTGGTCCAAAATACCAGTAGTACTAATGTTCAGAAAATCTGTCATAAGGCGTGTGTTTTGGAGGACCGTTCTTCCCCAAGCATCCCCTAGAGGTGGCCAGTTGCTTTCACTGGGCTCTGCAGCATACTCAAGCCCTCTGCATATTCCAGCACTTTCAACCTGGGTAGGGGGTCAGTATGCCTCTGCCTTCCCCCCAGTGGAGACTCATTTGGTGGATTGTAAAGAACTGCCTTGTAAACAATGCCACCAACAGAATCATTCCCTTTGGGGAGGCCAAACAATCATTTCTTTCTATGGTGTTTGCTGATTCTTTATCCAACAGGCATCTTAGCCCAGGAGCAAAGGATAGAACCACATGTGAGTTAAACTTAGCCCACAATATCTAGGATAGCAGGCCTGACAATACCCACTTCTAGATAGAAAACCCATTACTAACATGCACAGAGAGAAGCAAAAACATTTCTTCACTTTTTAATTGAGTGGCTTTTTAGTGAGGCCTATCAGATAGAAGAGAGATTGCCAGTTATATTTGAATTTTGGTTAAACAATGAGTAGTTTTTAGTGTATGTTCATTGCAATTGTAAGACATAAGCAATGTCAGATATACTTATACTAAAACATTTGCTATTTGAAATTCAAATTTACCTGGAGATCCTGCTTTCTTTGTTTTCACATTTTGATATTTTATAGAATTGTTTCCTTGGCTATATCTGGCAACTATTTTCTTGTACATTCAGGGAGACATCATATATGACTTTCTTCTTTCCATGACTGGCTTCTTCCCTTTTTTCTGCTTTCCCTTGGAATTTTCTAGCCCTTCTTCCTAAATTGGGTGTATATTCTTTTCCTACAAGCCTCTACACCACTCTCCTGAGTAACTTTGACACATTTTTAAAATCTCCTTCCCACCAAAAATGGGTGAATGTGAGGAGTGGTTGTAGAGTAGACATCAGAAACTTCATTCTAAAAAGCCCTACATAAGGAAAATGAAATGAATTGAAATTAAATGCAAACATGTTACTATTTTAATCAAACCCACCTTTTAAAGTTTGCTTTACAACAAATATGAATAAAAAATGAATTCTTTGTACAATTATGTACAGCAAACTTCCCGTGGACATTCAGCATCTGATTTAATCTACTAATTGAATTATATAAATTTTCAAAAATATGGACTCAAAGGATGTGGGGGACATAAATATGGAAGAAAATATGGGAAAAAGAAATCTGGGACAAGTAACAATTTTTGAAGCAATAAAGAAGGATTGAGCAGCAAATGTCTCAAAGAAAGCTTGATATTTGAAAGGGATTATTTGTAAGAAGTATAAAATGAATTCAGAAGAATCTACAACATCTTTATTTCCAAGGAATTACATAAATACATCTTATGTTCAATAAATGTTTGCTAAACTGAATTAAAGACTTAGTCCCCACCATCGTCAAGGAATTTTAGACATGAAAAAAAGAAAACTCAAGTAACGAGGATAAATTATAAGATGTGTATGATCTCTGTAATCAGGTAATAATGTCCTTATACTTGAGCAGTATTAGATATGATACTAGCAATAAGGCAATGTGTGGATGTGTGTTCTGATAGCCATTAGCAATGAATATTAGAAGGAGCATGTTTTGGATGAGAAAGTCACACATGTAAAGGTGCAAAGACAGAATTGTGCGTAGTAGTGAGAACAAGTAAAATGTTACAGAAAGTCAAGGCGAAAGGACCATTTGAGTGAAGTTCAAATGTAAGAGGCAGACTGTGAATGGACCGAAGTCCAACGCTAAGATGTAGGGCCATAGCCTATAGTGATATGTCTATTTTAAGGCATTGTTATGAACCTGTCATTTAAACGCAGATTTAGATGGTCAGATTAGAATGTTTTGACATTCAGTGAAAAAACAAAAAATAAATGATGTTTTGAAATCAGTCCCAGATAAGATGTGGTAGAAGAAGATATGGGTTTTGGGAAATCCTATATGAAGTGGAATTGCCTGGTTAATGGCAGCTGTTTCCACAATTAAGCTAAGCGAAATAATTCAATTTAGTTTAACAAAATCAGCTCTTACATTTCAGCTTCTTAATAGCTTCTACTGTTCCACTGAACCTGGAGAAATTGGTTTGGGGATAAGACACTGCCTTCTTGTTTAGTCAACACTGGGACAACAAACCAGAAGGAGAATGTCTGCTCTTTCAGTCTTGATAAAATAGTCAAACAGCTACTGACTTCCAACAACTACAACTTCCAAACAATAGGAAGCAGGTAGGCACTGCTGACATATCCAGTTATATTAATAGTCGTTATTGTTGCACTGTCTTATTTCTCAAATTGGTCAACAGCCTTTTCAAAATCTCACTAAAACACACAGACATAGACACAGACACACACACACACACACACACACACACACACACACACACCTTCATTCTGTTAACATTACCATTCTGAAAATTTTATTTTATGGAAAAGGTATTTTGTCATACACATGCATTTTATTCAATACATGCTTATTTCAGACTAGATGCATCCACTCCCTTCCATTGTCTGTTAGAGACAAAAGAGCACTGCCAACACAGTGATCCATGGCGCAATGATGGCTCAGAGCCTGTGTTTTGTAGGCACAGGTGTTTCCCAGAGACAAGGTTTTGGTCTAAAAGCATCTTTGTTCTCAGATTTACCTTCTGGATTGCTTTATAGAAAAAGGAGCTTGATGGAACAAAAGGAAAAACCAAGGCAGAGGCAGATAACAAGGCAGAGATCATCTCCAGCAGCACAAAGTGACTGCAGTAGGACAAATTGGACACATTATTTTGATTGTCACCAAAAGATTTGAGCTTTGACTAAGATTTCTTCATCTACCTTTTTGGGTAAAGCTGAGGAAACAAAACTCTCCTGGTCTTTTATTTCCATTTTTCTTTGAAATGTTCACATGCAAAAGATTATTCTCTCAGATGCAGCTGGAGAATTGCTTGGTATGTGGGGAAAGAACTCGTCACATGTGGTATCACAAGTGTTGAGAGACCATAGGAGAGCAGAGGGTAGGGAAAACCCTTTAGTTTTTCCTAATTCACTAAATTAAAAAGAAAAGAGCCCAATTTCCTGAAAAAAAAAATTGTTCTTTTCAAATGGAAGAAAATAACCCTTAAAAGAGAGCATTTCTACTGAATATGATTAAATTGAAATTAATATGGAGAATTTCTACTTAATATGGTGAATTTTCAAGGCTAGGGCATAAGAAGCCTTCATAGGTTGCCTGGGGAAAGAATATGAGTGTGCTATGTGTGGAAGCTCAAGCTAAGCATGTGGAGAAGCTCTCTGGGAAGAGATACCTGACCAACCCAAACAATCCCAGCCATCCCAGGCACTGCACCTGTTAGTACAAGGTTTTAGATGACCCTATCCCAAACTGTGACCTGACAACAACTATCCGAGACTGAGCAATACCAATCAGCTGAGTCTAGTGTAATCACAGAACCATGGAGACTATGATGCATGTGTTTAAAGCCACTAAATGTTGGGGTGGTTTGTTGTGTAGCAATAGATAACTGGAATCGTCCCTGGAGGTGTCTTCAACACATAGCTTTGATGGTCACCAAAAAAGATGATACAGAGGTGGCTGAGACCCACAGCTTTGTTGTCACCAAATTTCCTTGGATTGACTCCATGTGCTTAAATCCTGATTCTACCACCTTAAGTAATTACTTGCCATTCAAAACCTTAGCTTCTTGTTTGTAAAATATGAGTGATGATAACAATAGTCTCTCTGAGTGATGACTGTGTGGTGCAAATAAATTCCCATCAAGTGACTAACACATTACTTGTCAAGAGGCAAAAACTAAATAAATTTCATATGTTTTATTATTAACTAAACTTGCTTACAGAAACTCAAAGGCTTTGGCTGGGTCACTTGTTTACTTACTTAGATAAGTGGTTTCTCTATTTGAGCCATTTATTCTGCTGTACCCTGTGGGCTGACAGACTCTAAGGGAAAAAAATCACCTCTAAGAGAAAAAATATGGGAAATAAGCAGGCACACTCAAAGATGATCTTTGGGGAATGAGGTGCTCTGTCTTATGTGAGTGAAAACTTTAATATTTCTTTGAAAAACTGACCAACACAAAATCAAATAGACAAATGAGTCTCAACATGTCTGTGGCAAAGTTAACTCCATTGGGTGCTGGGTAATGTATACTGTACATTCCAGAAATGGTGCTGCCTTGGAAATTTATTAAGTGTAACATTTAATAAAGGGAAGAGTTTACAAAGCACCCTGGAGACTTGTGTTCTAATTGAGTATCTGCTTTGATGTCTGACTTAAGGGAAGTCGCTGGAGCTCTGTCTCTTATTTCCAACTACTATAAAAGAGGATTACAAGCACATTTGTAGCACCTCCAGACACTAAAAAATAAAGGGATGGGGCAGATCATTTGAAAATATGGATGCATAAAAGAGAATGACTCGAAAGTAAGCAGAATAATACTGTCAATGACAGTATAGTTGAGTTCCGCTACATTTTGGCAATGCACACTGGAAGAAGGAACATGATGATGTCATAGACATAGGGACACTTTTCTAGCCTGTCACTTACTGAAACCAAAATGTATAGAGAATAGAAAAGACCACCTTCTTATCTGTGGAATGAAGTAGTATACACGACATATATGGTGTAAACCATATGGCACATATATCACATCCAGGTATCTGAACACTAAAGTATCATTTAGAAAATTCCAACTGGAATCATACCCATCTGGCTTTGATGCACTCCAAACCTGTAGAAG